ACAGAAAGCGAAGGACACATGACTTTAATGTTCACAGACTCCAGTCTCATATGGCATAAACACACCTTACAGTTTTCAGCAACCTTGGTGCGCTTTTCAGGTAGCATTGCTTAACAGGGAAATTGAAGATTTTGGAAGGGGTACTTTTAAGGGCTTTAATTATTGGAAACCAGGGGTACGATTAACAAAGTTAGATGACGGTTTTACTACTGAGTTGGGTCGTCATTTAAAATTTATTATCCACAGTTTATGTTGTTATGCAATGTTACAGCAATATTGTCAGTTACGGTGGAATACCGCTGAGTTTATTGATAATTTCTACATTTTCCATGTCAATCATTTAATTTTTACAAATGACCAGATGTGACACCTGCTTTTTACCAGAGTAGTCTAGTTTCAATATTTTGTGCTATCCAGTTGCTCTTTTGCTCTTATAACGACAAAAACGCCGTTAACATACGGATACCTCAGTCAGTAGTAATGTTTAACGTTTGTCTTCAAGTTTCTACGTCCGGTCGCTTAAAACAAATATGTTTGATGTGCTGTTATCGTTGCAAATTCATATGCTTCTTCTTTCCGTTTAAAAGCGTCAGCCGGCTTACCCGTAAGGGGTAAATTGTTTCTGCTTCATACAACAACTATAGGGTTTTCGAATAGAGTTCCGTGGTTTGGGCGCAATATTAAGCTTAGGCCATTGTGTTATCTTATTTAACTGATTTATACGCAGTTTAAATTAACCATAAATCATCTACAGTTTGTAATTTGTTGGTTGAGTGCAATACCTCTCATAGTGCAAACAATATCAAATATTTGAGCGTTAAGGTGATCTAATGCGACGAATAAGGCACAAGTGAATATGTCTAAGGCAGGCCAATAAAATATAAAGTTCTCAAAATTAAGGGGTAGGGGGAAATTGTTAGGGGGAATAACAGCACAATAGGTAGTATAGAAGTGATGAAATTTTTCCGTTTTTAAATATTTCATGAGATGATGCTCAAATTTATTTTCAATTAACCCTTCTATTTAGCTAGTGTAATGGTTGTTTCTAAACACGCAGCCTACGCTCTCACTTTAAAAAAATTCGAACCGTGCTGGCCAACACATTAAGTTCTAGCAAACTTCAACTACTGTTGGACGTCTTAACATTTAGCATAGGAAGCAAAAGATTCAGAGTGTCTCCATTGCATAGATTACGACGCAGGTTTTGGCAAAGGCACTGGGCCGCATTTTTGCTGCCCCATAGCGATTGATTGTGTTTACGCAGTTAGATTTAACGCCAGTAAGTTAAATATTTCCAAAATTCCATGTGGTAACAATATATTTTAACCCCGAGTAATCCCCGTTTTTAAAGGGCGTTTATTCATCCTTAACGAAATATTACCAATCACGATAGGGAAAAAAGAAACGGGCCTTCTTGATGGACTCTTGTAGATGGGAGGTGTGGACCTTACTAAAATTGACTAGCAAAACGCCTAGGCTGTGCAGCGAAGCGAAATAATTGGAATACTGGAAGGAAGAAAGGTAAAAAGAGCTTGCTAATTTCGTTTTAAATATTGTCACACCCGACGTTGGTTTTGGAAGGCCGACCAACGTTGCCATTTGCTTTCTGACTGTAAATTATTTAGTCAAACCACCTTAAAAATAGGCAACACAGAATGAAAAATTGAATCACATGAAGGCACCGCTTTTGGGTTTACATTTCTACCGTTTCCATCTTATTTATCTATTGTAGAAAATAAATATATGTTTTCTCGCCGCTGTTGTTTTTAAAACGGCTATCAAATATGCTAACTTAAACTAAACCTTACAGGACTTTATTCCTTCCGCGGTACCGAAATGACCATTTTTAAAAGTCGATTACTGTTCGTTGAAACTGGCCCTCTGTATTGAACACGTTTGTACCTACTCATCGATAGCATTGTTGGGTGTTAGTTGACATTACCCCTGTGGTATCGTTTATGCTTCTTCGTCACCATGATTTACAATTGCTTGAACGGAATTTTTGCACGACCATGGCACTGATATTTTCTTTGTTTTCACATTCTTTGCATGCTCTGTACGGTAGTTAAATTCGAACAGGATTTCGATATTTTGGCAGAATTTTGGTCTTTAAAAAAATACCACAGCACTTACAACGGCTAAATCCCTCTCTTCATTTCTGTATAACAAGTGATCATCCTCCAAACCTGATTCATACAAAATACTTGAAATGCGGTTGCTAATAAAGTGGGTACTACTTTACATTACCTAATCCAGACGAACAAAACTATGCTAGAAGGTACTGGCCACGACCAGGTTTCGCATAGAAAACGTTTTTGTCTATTTATTTGAACTAGCATACAAACTGTACACACGGATTTCATCCAGTAAACACGTAGGACTAACCTTTGGGAAAGGCTGCCATCATACTCACAACAAGAGGTACAGAAAAAATACGAAACGAGCATTTCACCCATCTTTGTTGCTACTCGAAACAGCTTAACAAGCTTGTTTGTGATTAATTGAAGGCATGCATACAGAACCAATGGTGTGGTTCGGGGTATTTAAGGATATATCACATTAAATATAAAAGGTGTGGGAGAAATACGTTAAAGTTTCTGGTTTGAACGGCGATTTTATCTGAGACTTTTATTTACACCTTGGTTTATTCACGCCAGTTAAATTCTTAGGATATTCGAGACCACGGTGACAATGTTGTACTAAGTTGTGTATTTACTTCATTTGACCCAGTTATGCGAAACTTCGCGGCTTCGGTGGGATTTGAACCCACGCCAACAAACGAAAGGCTTTAATACAACAAACTGAGTTACGAGGCTTCCACCGGGGAGCGTGAATTTAATCACATGGGAGTCATTTTACCCACCCAGCCTACTGCTGAGCTCCTAGCGTGGGCCTGTTAAATCAGTTGGCCAGAGTGTTGGCTGTACTGAAGTCTTCCCTTTACTGGCGTGGGTTCGCATCTCGTCGAGACCACCAAGTATTGCACGACTGGGTCATATGGGGTCATTTAAATCTGCCAAAACCCCCTACTACCCGTGTGTTTACGCCCAGTCTAATTTATAGCTAACCAATTATCAGATAATGCAGAACGCTTGTGTCAAAAAGACAGTTATGCCTCTTCAGTCTGCTGGATTGCCTACGTGAGTAAAATTTTCAAATGCGAAATAACAAGGCCTGAGACCCACTGCCGAAGTAGGAAACAACTGGGATCTTTTACAGTACCTGATGAAGTTATAAGCAAAGACGTTATGCTGGAGATACAGGAGAACCAGTTCGGAAGGCAAGAACACCATGAACTATTCTCCTGGGCTTTCTTTAACCATCTGAGGGACGCCGAATGACTTATTCCTACAACATATATTAAGCATTAATAACGAGGCCCACTGATTTAGCTACCACCCGCTTTTAGTTTTATTTTTCGTACCGGCCGAGTGTTGGGTGAGTGCTAGGCTTGACCGTATGAGCAGCGTTCCTCGGTGGGAGGGAAGGGAGGAAGTTAAATAGACGTGCAACTTCTATTCAGCAAGCTAGAATCAGGGCATCGATTCGGTCATCACATCCCAGCACACAATCGTAAATCGGAGCAGTAAAACTAAGGAATGCAATTTTTACTTCTGGCTTGGAAGGTAATTTTGAGGAAATCTGTACAACTTGGAAGTGTCGGACAAACCTTGGCGCAGTCACATCGCTCAAGGGCAGCAAAATGATAAATGTACACAACGTTATTATGCGTTTGTATACTGTTGTATGATGGTCTGCGGCGGGACTGTGGAAGCAGTGAGGGGGAGGGGAGCCATTACACTGCCCAACTGTTCGGAATTGTGTTTGGAAGAACCTGTTGTCGCTCGTTGGCATTGTTGCACCAGGAGTAAAGGACCACGTCCTGCATCTCGTAGTTGGTCCTGCCTGCGTTCCACTCCAATGGTGTTTGGTTCCTACTGTGTCCACTCAAAGGGCAAGAAGTCACGGAACTACGTGTCTCCGGTGGGTCGGAAAGGTACGAATGACCAATCTGGGAGAATTGATCAATGGAAGTTGCATAAGGGTGGTGAGCCTGCATGTTCATCTCGTCTGTGTGCCCGAGGAGCATTCCATAAGGGTTCTGGCCCGAACCATCGAAAAAACTGTTCATTGTCATTTGGTTATATGACGATCCGGGGATTCCTAAAAAAGGATGTAATGTCTCAAGTAAGTGCATAGAGCAAAATACTAGATTAGTAATAGCCACTTTTGACTGTGTGGGGAGCAAAGGGATATGCATTGCCTCAAACAGTATTTTGGGGATACCGATGATATTTGTTGCAAACCTTTAAAATACCTCGCTATTTTGTCAAATACTTTCTTTGCCTTAAATGCCCTCATGACAAGCATTCGTACTCTGCGGGTTTACCTTACAGATCTCGCTCATATACAAAATTCCAGCCACTCTCCCAACCCAAGCCCCAACACACCGACTTCCTCAGGTGGGCAAAACGACGAACATTTTTTGTAAACCCTTTAGCATTTCTTTCTCTTAAAACTCCTTGCTATTCGACCATCTTCTTTTTTGGCCAGCCATATTGCCAGAATTGTGATGCAGGTTTCAGTATTGTCTCAGTCTAACTTAATAGTTATTAAAGAATCGTAAAGAAAAGTGCTTTACCATTTCACCATATCTCGTTCGTACTTCTACGAAGCAATTTAAATGTCAGTTTAGGACCTGAACTCTGAACATCTTATAGAGATGATAAGAATAAGCCTGAAAACAAATTATATAAGTTGTTTTCTACGTATTTTTCCAGGAATAATTTAAAACGCGTCAACAATATGCCACAAACGTTAACATAGGCCTGCCAAACTAATTATAGGTTTGGAAAGTCAAATTGGCACCATTGTCAGACCACTAAACTTCCAGGGAGAATGAGAATATGTGTTGTTGAAGTGTTTATGAAAGTTGCAGGGATTTTGGTAGCACTACTTTTTTCCACATCGTCTACATAGGGGCTCGATGTGTTGGGCTCATTGGGCTGTGGCAGAGGGTGGAGATAGAATGTAAGCAAGGTCCATTCAGTACGTATTCCCGTCTTTAGGGGGGTTTTAGCGATGAACGATCACCACGCGTAGCCGCGGAAGATGAAGCGCTCGCATTAATGCATCATGACGACATACTGCAAGACTTACCATCTGAGTAGCCCTTGCTTTGGCTTTTATTGACATCCGTAGAAGTGGGCCTTTAGAATAGATTGTTGGTTTCTGGTAAATAACCTAAACGGTTTCTTTGGCGTCAACTCAGTGATTCGTATCGAGAAGCGAACTCGAACTGGATCCCTTTTCACCTCTACTTAACCAGACAGACATGGGTTCGCGTAACATCTTTTCCAGCCGTCTCGTTGTACGATTTGCATGCCACTTCACGGGAGCAGGCTGAGGGAAAAATACGCATCAATCTCGAATAGTCAGTCTTTATCGCCTGGAATTAGGGGGGAGGCTTTGTGAAGCATTTGCATTAAATCGGCGCGGGAAAGGCGCTTATGGTGGATATTTATAGACGTCGCCCTATTTATTTGTTGGCCACCCCAACTCCCAAATGACAGGTATGCGCATTCTTAATGTTCAGCCTGCAGACATTGATCACCGTCCACCCTGCCGCCCCCAGCCCTGAGATCCAACATCCCTAACTCGCCATGTGGGTGGCAGGGAAAGATGAGTGTTTGAGTAATCCCTTGGTTCGCTTATAAACCCGGCCTGTGACTCATGCTTCAATTCTCCATCTAACGATATTAGCCTGACGATAAATGGCTGAACGCATGCGTTTGCCAATTTGAACTCTTAAGCCTATTCACAGAAATT